AATTTCCAACATCTATTATAGCTCACATATAAAATTATTGGCAAAATATTGTGATAAATTAAGTACAATATTTTTACATTATACATAGCTAGACTCTCACTAAATCTATATTTAAGTGATAGCCTTATTATTGTATTCCGCAGAGATTTATCGAACAAATGAAATCAAGTAATTATAAAAGGCGTACACATAGATTAAGATGTGGGTAAGTAACGATAGCAGAAGAGAGGGGGCAGGAATATTTCGGACTAAGAATATATTGGGGCTGCATGTGGGATTTAAATTGAAGGTAACTAGGGTCCAAGCGGAAAACCCGAGCCACTCTAATGAATGTTGATTGGACTCAAATTTTTTGTGCATAGGTGCAGGAAAACAGATCGACAACATCATGGGTTTGAAGTTAGTGTAGACATTGAAAGTTGATGCATATAAGTGTGATAAGTTACTTGGCTATATCCTGATCTTAATTGAGCTAGGACAGTTGCTGCAAAGGCAAGGCGTTGTACGTTGCGATTTTAAGCTGGAGTCTAATGAAAGCTTTGTTGCAGTGCAACCGTGGTTTCGAAATGAATACTGTATCTGTGTGCAGGACTGTTCCCGTTTATATTCGATCTCACTAATGTTGGTTCCATTTCAAGAGATATTGATGTATTCGTAAAGTGAAGAGAGGGATCGACCAATGCATCCAGTAGAGAGTTTCAACATGATGCCATTATTATTAGAAGTATTGACTTATTAGATATTAAATTTTATGAGGTACATATCTGTAAGTCCAAATAATACACCGCGGTCAACAATATTTAACTTTATTAGATACATATACCGAATAATCAACACCAGAATTTCAAGAATATATTTTGATTATGTATATTTACTGTCTTATACGAATATCATTTTTTATTAAGCCTTTATAATTTTTTTTCAAAAAACATCCAAATTTCTTATAAAGTTTATCACTTGCGAAGACTATTGATTATTAGTATTTGCTGTATGCTGTTTCTGCCGAAACAGCTATATGGTCAAATTAAAGGTCAATAAATTTTTAGGTAAAAATTCTACCTCGTCATGTTTCATTTTAAGTAAATTTTATTAATTCACTTCTTCAACGACAATTTTCTCTTTTACAAAATCTAAATGTACATTATTTACGTAAAGCTCTATAAAATTTAATTTAGTTAAAAGCAAAGTATTTAATGTGTTATTATCAAGTTTTGACTCGAAACTGTTTAAAATTGTAAATAATGCATTAAAAGCTTTCTCCATAGGCGTTTGCGTTATTGGAACTGACAGCACTACTGATGCTATCTTTTTAATATCATTATCATAGCCCGTAGTTTTCCAAAAATTCAATATGTCAGTATCGAGGGGAACCTTCTTTTGATTTGAGAGTAATGTTATCTTCTGTTTGCAGGTAAGGTGTCTATTAGCGTTGCTTATAGATGTCATTGACTGCATCATGCGTTGTTCCAGTTTTGAATAAGTTGATTCGGAAGAAGTTGAAGGTAGCACAAACAAAGATGATGACATATTTGGAGTATCTACTTCCATTTTTAGACTTTCTGGTTGTGAGTCTTCTAAATTTTTTAAAATTTCAAATGTTTTTAACAAATTTGCCTAAAAGTGAAATGGTATATACTTATACAAATGAGCATTATATTATGAATGGAAACTTACAATAGCTGTATATTTTTGTTCCTCAGATAGTACGATTGAATTTTCGAAATTAAAACGAGGATCAAGATATAGTGCTGCAAGAAAAGCGTCATCATCTAGAAATACCTTTTTACTTTTTTGCATTGATTCATGTAATAGTGAGGCATATGGTGTAATTGTGTTTAAATCTTCCAAATCTATCTCACAACATAACCAATCTCTGTAGAAATCGCCTATTACATATTGCTCTGTTTGCATTTTCTTTGTACAAGTAACAAATGGATTAAAAGCAACTACGAAGCTTGTGATAAAGTTCCAGTTGATATCAACAACGACATTTCTTTTAATATACCAATTTTCTATTACTTGTCTCGATTGTAATAAAGAAAACAACATTTCATATGTTGAGTACCAACGTCGAGAATCATCCAATTTTGGAAATTGTACTTGAGTATCATTTACTGGAAAAAAATTTTCTTGAAGTTGCTTCACAATATCTCTACACTCGTTTATATCAGCTTCCAGAACTTTTAATACACCATATGCTGCAAGCTGTATTGTATGAGCTATACTCTTACCCACTGATAATGCCATTGAGAGTATGGAGTGAATACTCTCGTCAGTCTTTTCAATATGACCACATTTTTCTTCCATAAATTCATTATAAATTTGTTTATATTTTAAATTGTGAGGTTGTGATAAGTTGTTTATTTGCAGTATGTTTCCACAATTATTGGATGTGCTGGAATAAATTTGGTCAACGCTTATTTGATAAATTTCAAGACATTTACTAATCTCTTCTTTCAGATATGCTGTCTGTTGACGTTGTTTAAGTTCCAACACAATAACACCTATAATAAAAATTCAGTAATTGATAAGTAGTTAATATGATATATTATATATAATATATGATATTTACCTATTGTATTAATGCAGATTTTAAAGTTCTCGATATAATGAACATTAATTACTATTATACCATCCCGATTTATTGCGGTTGCAATGTCGAATTCTAAACATATCATTTTATTTTTAATACGTTCTGTTATTATTTGTTGAATTTTTAGAGAGGAGAATTCAATCAATGAAACGATATTCTTTGAGTTTAGATTCGTGTTGAATTTCTTTTCATATGGTGCTATCAAGATTTTAAAAAACTCTTCATCATCGTATATACCAAAAGATAGATTTTTGGCAGCTACTAATCCCACACAACATCTTAAGAATTTATTTTTATCGATATCAATGTATATACCTTCCTGATTATGCTCTTTGGCTAGAGGTTCTACACGTTTTTCCGTGCCATTAATTTTTATATCATATTTTCTCGGAATTTCAATGCTATGTACGTCTTTATAATGTCTTTTGATATTGGATGTATTAATACCGTTTAACGTTTTTTGACAATGTAAGCAAATAATTTTATTGACATGCTTTAAAATTTTATAATATTTATCGGTATCTGTTTTCATCGTTAGAACTGTTCTTAATTTTTTTAATTTGGAGAAATAATAAAATAAATAACTGCAAAAATATACACAAACTTACACTGCAAAGCACAACAAAACACTGAGTTCTTGAAATACACGTTCGCGAGTATACACGAGAGATTTTTAGCTTTCGAGCTAATAAAAAATTACTTATTTATTATTTGTTCATGTTTAGTTCATTCCCTTCTAGCCATTTCCTTCGCGACTGGTTGCTACTCATATTCGGCACGAGTATTCATCGAATCATAAGCGGTTCATTTGCTTACAACAAAATTGCTTAAACAATACCTCAATGTACTCAATATATATGTATGTGTTTGTGTGTTGTATGATATATTAAATAGAAGAAGAGTCAAAGAAAAAAAAATTGTTTTGAATTTTTCAGCTGTTTGTTAAATTTTGTTGGGAAATTATTTGCTTTTCAGTTCGCAACTTCTAACTACTCGCAATGTATGAAAGCACTGACTGACGAGTTCTCTGCTTTGCGCACTCATTCTACACCACACTGATAGACATATGTGCATTTGTATTGTGCAGTGTTTTTGCTCTTTCTCATATTTGTGTTGATGTGCGTATGTGACGTTTATTTTGATAGAAAAATAGTTTTTATTTGTTGTGTTGTGTGTTAATTATATCGGAAATTGTTTATGAAAGATTTTATTTCAAACAATTTTCTTTTTAATATTTTTGTGAATATTTCAACGGTACTTAAACTTATTTGTGTTTTTATTTGTACTATTATTTTTTGACTGCAACAAATTGTTGCTTTTCAAATGCAATTTTGTTTAAAATCTATAATAAACATTGATTCGTACTGTAGTTGTTTACAGCTGCTTTGCTAGCCGAGTCGGTCTTTTGTGGGTACATTTATTTCAATTGATAATTAGAAATAATTTAGTGTTTCTTTTACAATGAATATTTGATTTTAGATTCTTTATTAATATAAAAATAAAATAAAATTGTGACTCCTAAAATGGAAAAATAAAGATTTGTAATTCATGTCTAAATATGCTATTTTTTAGCTCATAGTGTGTGTATAAGCAATAAGGGTAAGGGTAAAAAGTAAAAAAAAACCAAAAAAAGTTATAGTTTATAATGAAAATATCAATCAATGTGTGACTTAATATTTAGAATAATTTGTTGTTATTGTTTTTTCATGTGTATGTGCTTGTTTAGATTTTCCACCTTCCCTTGTTTGTTAATATAATTTTATTGAATAGAATAACATAACAAAACGAAATGAAAGAAGATAGCAAGCGAGGAGACCCAAATAGCAACTAATGAAAATACAACATATAGAACATATGCCATGTGGAACTTATTTAAGTAAACAAAAATTGAAAGAGAAACTAAAAAGAGAATATTGTGGAATTTAATTTTTAGACCATTTGATTTTTGTACAAACGTACTATAGATAAAATCGTCGCATGAATTTTATCTATAGGGGCGATCTAGACTTATATTTAGACCTTGTGCGAGTTCGAGTAAATTGATGGCAAATTGAGGGAAATAGTAAATTACGTCGGTATGGCAGCGAATATTGGTATATACGAGAATTTCGATTAGGGAAAATAAGATAAAAATTAGGTAAATTAGGTGTTACCATTGTGAACATTTTATAAGATATTGAATAAATAAATTTTAAAACTTTTAATCAAAAATAATAAATAACTGTAATAAATAAATAAATAAATAAATATTTGCATTACTGCAGTGCAAAAAATCCCTAGGAAATTTTAATTTACTTTACCTCAATTTACTTGAACTCGCATACGACCTTAAATGAGAATGCAAATATGAGTGCTATTTTTTCGCAAGTCTATTCCTAAGAAAAATAATTTTTACAAATATAAATTCTATATAAAATCATTATATTTTTTTAATAGATCTAAAAAAA